TCCCATCTGTGCGTGTGCAGAAATTACCTAAAGAGATCATTAGCATAACAATATTTCACCATCCATAGACTCAGTCGTGCTGGGCGAGAACAGCGAGCTACTTATCCTGGTCAATCAATCAATGTATTGGATCAACTTTGGATACAGTAGCACCCATACAAAATGTGTGGTGCATCCAAGAAATATACAACAATATAAAAAAATAGAATTACCTTAAAATTACAAAATACAAAGTAACACAAGATACAAGTAGGTACTGTACTGTAAAATTGCCAACAAAATAAACCTAAAAGCGTTTAAGTTTTAAAACTTTAAACAATTAGTACAGTATATATATCTGAGGACTATAACTAACAAGAAATATACTTTCATATACACATCTATATATATTAACGTACATATATATACATACATACATACATATACACATACAGTTTAAAGTCATTGATTTAATCCATCCGCACGTGTAGTTTAATTAATATTACTTAAATATGTATTTATCCTTACATTAGATATTTATAGATGACAAATTTTCGTTTTTGTAAAGCTAAAATGGGAACGGAGTACTCACTGAGAACGTTTCGATCCCTATCAGAGATCTTTATAAACCGACAGGTTATTTAGCTTGGTCATGACGTCATCTGTTGATGATGACGTCGTACACCTCCTCCGGATGATCTTATAGAATTCATACCGAGCCGGGCCCCGAACAACCTTCGACCTACATCCGGAGGAGGTTTACAACGTCATCAACAAATGACGTCATGACCAAGCTAAATACCACCTACCTGTAAGTTGATAAAGATCTCTGATAGGGATCGAAACGTTCTGACTAAGTACTCCGTTTCCATTTTAGCTTTACAAAAACGAAAATTTGTCATCTATATAATTCCTGAAGCTAAATGAATTTCTTTCAACATTAGATATTTGTAAATGTGTGTATTCCATTTTACTTAATTATCTCACGATGTTATAATTACAATTATTATTTTATTCTAATAATTTACAATAAATTTGCTGGTTCTTTTTTTTATTTATAGGGTTCAGATTTTTTTGTGTAGAAAAATCCAATACATAAAAAGAAACACACACACAAAAAAACCAATATAAACAACTATAAACATATTAATAACAATTGTTGTCATTACTTACGGAAGCGTATTTACGGAAGCGTATTGCTGCCAACTAAAAAAAAAAAATTAGATATTATCTCGTTACTACGAGATATTATCTCGTAATAACGAGATATTATCTCGTAATTACGTCTCGTAATTACGA